ATGCAACTATCTACTGGGCTGTACACCTTTTCTCACGGACTCTGGTGGTGCCATGACGGGCGTCAGCGCGCGGTTGATCATATACAACGTGTCCATTGCGGCTTCGTACTCTACATGCGTCAATCAAGGCATCCTGTCTCACTTCTGCGGCAACAACTCGGTCTGCGCTCAGTGTGTCACTCGCGGATCTAAGAACTATCTGGCAAGTACTCGTTACCCTGGAGAGGCTTCACTAGGTTCGATGGCTCAGCAGGTCTTCACTTACAGCGATTCAGCCAGGTTCACGCAGGCAGTCGAAGGGGGCGTTCACAGTAAGTTTTGGTGCAAATTCTGTAGCGTATTCAATGCCTTACCAGTGTGGCTGTTCTCGTAATGTGATTAGACACCATCCACAGCGTTCTTAACGGCGTTATGGCGTGGTTTCAGTCTCCGGCAGATCCGGTTTTCTACCTCCACCACTCGTTGATCGACTTGCTGCAAGTAATTTATCTCAAGTGCCAAGTGGGCGGTACAAACGTGGTGCTCTCAGCAGCAGACAAAGGTAGCGACCCTCGGTGGTTTAGCACATGTGCAAAAAGAACTACTGGCAACTATACGAGCGATGACACCATCACGATGCGCGCCAATGCAACGGATGGGAAAACCCTTGTCAATGTGTGGGAGGACCCCAACAACATCCTTTACCCATTTTTCAAGGATTTACCCAGCAAGTATGCGGATTATGTCGATGCTAAAGACCTGGGGAACTACAGCTACAGCTACGCGATCAGTGGAGGACTGGCCAACATGTATCAAAACTGCAAAAATGCTACCAATATGGCTGCGGTTAACGGTACTATCACGACTCTACTAGCGAGTCGGAGCAAAACACGCGACCGTCCTTCTCCAATAATCGAGCCGGGAACGAGTTACGACGAGAAAGTGAAGCGTTGGAATGTTGCGCTGTACGAATCTGCTCGCATTGTTGGATATGAAGAGATGGCGGCCAGAGAGCAGATGGAAATGGTGCTGTGTCAATACCAAGCCGACTGTCTGGGCGGCGTTGAAGACTACTCGGACATCTTTCGAGCCAACTTTCATGTCGATGGGCATACGCGATGTTACAACATCGTGGCGGGTTTAAAGACGGGAGATTTAGTAATTGGTATCCCCAAGTGGAAAGACATCACGAGCCGCTTTGTGCCGTGCGCCGCGTACACGAAGAAGAAGCCTCTCTTGTCCGATTTCGCTAAGGCTGCCACAGCATTTGCCACAGCTTCCGCTTAAGACTCTACTACTGCATGAAGTTGCTGTAGCAAATTTGCAAAGTCTTCATGCTGATAACGAAGAAATGCTTAGGTAACTACTGTAGGCCACCTCTTACGTTAGCAACCTCTCATGCGCTATTGCGACGCCATGATGCGGTTGTGATAAAAACTATAACCTTCAATTTGATTTTTGTTAATGTTTTTCGATTGGAGCCTACTTATCTGCAGTCAAGATGTACAGAGGTCGGAAATCTCATTGATAGAACTCCATGTTAGCACGCAAATCCATTGATCACGATGAGTTCAGCAATTGAAGTTAGCTATGGACCTGTTCCGCAATTCATTGCGTTACTAAGCTAACTCATTTTTGAATAATTAGCTTCTCATTTCGCGTATCTTTTTGTATTTCTCCATCACAACAGCTACAGCGAAAAGGTAGCAACCCAATCATGTGTTGTAAGCCCATTTTTGTTGCGCAACCAGGATATTATTCCAGACTGTGCTTTACTAAGTCGACGCAGATTCCGTGGAATCCCTAAGTCTGTGGACGGCTCCATGTTTCTGTTTGGGCATAGCACGTTGCAGCAGCAAAGTTACTATCGTGAAAAGATCGCTGAGCTATTAGTTCGGAGCCAGCGTTTTTCCGTTGGTTATGGTGGATTATTTGACTCACAGTACAACAACAATATTAAAAAAGGGTGTCACTTACCGATCAGCCATTTTTTCGCGAAGACACATCGCAAAAAGTTTAGATTTCAAGAAACCCCCGACTTTTCAAACCGACACCTTGAGCAGACACAGGTCGATCCAAATCTTACGCAATATCTAAAACCGACGGCCCAACTGAGCTCTGCAAATGGTCACCTTCGCACCGCGATCTTGGACAGAGAGCCGCCCCAAGGCGACGCCATCAACTCCCGTCCGCACATTCCTCTCTCGATCCGTCGCCATGTGAATTGCTCAACAAACGTGCCAGTATTCAGGAACCACTTTGCAATTCTCCTTGCAAGCCTCAAACGCCTCGACGTCAAAGCAAGGCCGTCAGTTCGCGGCCACCTTTCTGCAACCATGCGAATCGCCACAGTACTTGCAGTGGTGTCTGCCTACGGCGCAGTCGTCGCCGCGCTGAACCAAGAGGGTGCCGACCATGCGATGGTGGGCTTGCATCGTTTACTGTGAAAAAATTAGAGTGTTTAAAGCAGGCGTTTGCTCATTTGAATACATTAGCATGGAATAATAAGATACGGCCTTGGTGGTCTATTTTGTTGGTTTGCACACCAGGGTAATGATTAATAGGGACAGTTGGGGGTATTCATATTTCAGCGTCAGAGGTGAAATTCTTGGATCGCTGAAAGATGAGCTTAGGCGAAAGCATTTACCAAGGATGTTTTCATTAATCAGAACGAAAGTTAGGGGATCGAAGATGATTAGATACCATCGTAGTCTTAACCATAAACTATGCCGACTCGGGATTGGCAGTCGTTTACTTTAAATGACCTTGTCAGCACGGTATGAGAAATCAAAGTCTTTGGGTTCCGGGGGGAGTATGGTCGCAAGGCTGAAACTTAAAGGAATTGACGGAAGGGCACCACCAGGAGTGGAGCCTGCGGCTTAATTTGACTCAACACGGGAAAACTTACCAGCTCCAGACATAGTAAGGATTGACAGATTGAGAGCTCTTTCTTGATTTCTATGGGTGGTGGTGCATGGCCGTTTCTTAGTTGGTGGAGTGATTTGTCTGGTTAATTTCCGTTAACGAAACGAGACCTCCCGCGTGCTAAATAGTTCCGCTTACCATTTTTGGTAGGTTTGTGACTTCTTAGAGGGACTTTTGGGTAATCAAACCAAAGGAAGTCGAGGCAATAACAGGTCTGTGATGCCCTTAGATGTTCTGGGCCGCACGCGCGCTACACTGATGCGTTCAACGAGTATACAACCTTGATCGATAGGTCTGGGTAATCTTGTGAATGCGCATCGTGCTAGGGATAGACTGTTGCAATTTTCAGTCTTGAACGAGGAATTCCTAGTAAACGCAAGTCATCAGCTTGCATTGATTACGTCCCTGCCCTTTGTACACACCGCCCGTCGCACCTACCGATTGAATGACTCGGTGAAAAATTGGGACCGTGAGTCTGTTTGCTTTATTGCGAGTGGATTGATGGGAACTTTTTTAAACCTCGCCATTTAGAGGAAGGTGAAGTCGTAACAAGGTTTCCGTAGGTGAACCTGCGGAAGGATCATTACCACACCTAAAAACTTTCCACGTGAACCGTTTCAAACCAATAGTTGGGGGTCTTACTTGGCGGCGGCTGCTGGCTTTATTGCTGGCGGCTACTGCTGGGCGAGCCCTATCAAAAGGCGAGCGTTTGGACTTCGGTCTGAGCTAGTAGCTTTTTTATTTTAAACCCTTTACTTAATACTGATTATACTGTGGGGACGAAAGTCTCTGCTTTTAACTAGATAGCAACTTTCAGCAGTGGATGTCTAGGCTCGCACATCGATGAAGAACGCTGCGAACTGCGATACGTAATGCGAATTGCAGGATTCAGTGAGTCATCGAAATTTTGAACGCATATTGCACTTCCCGGGTTAGTCCTGGGAAGTATGCCTGTATCAGTGTCCGTACAACAAACTTTGTCTTTTCTTTCCTTCCGTGTAGTCGGTTGGAGGAGATGCCAGATGTGAAGTGTCTTGCGGTTGGTTTTCGGGACCGACTGCGAGTCCTTTTAAATGTACTAAACTGTACTTCTCTTTGCTCCAAAAGTGGTGGCATTGCTGGTTGTGGACGCTGCTATTGTAGCGAGTTGGCGACCGGTTTGTCTGCTGCGGCGTTAATGGAGAAATGCTCGATTCGTGGTATGGTTGGCTTCGGCTGAACAATGCGCTTATTGGGTGATTTTCCTGCTGTGGCGTGATGGACTGGTGAACCATGGCTCTTTAGCTTGGCATTTGAATCGGCTTTGCTGTTGCGAAGTAGAGTGGCGGCTTCGGCTGCCGAGGGTCGATCCATTTGGGAAATGTTGTGTACTTCGGTATGCATCTCAATTGGACCTGATATCAGGCAAGATTACCCGCTGAACTTAAGCATATTAATAAGCGGAGGAAAAGAAACTAACAAGGATTCCCCTAGTAACGGCGAGTGAAGCGGGAAGAGCTCAAGCTTAAAATCTCCGTGCAAGTTTTGCGCGGCGAATTGTAGTCTATAGAGGCGTGATCAGTGTGGGCGCTTGGGGCAAGTTCCTTGGAAGAGGACAGCATGGAGGGTGATACTCCCGTTCATCCCTGAGTTGCTCGTGCGTACGATCCGTTTTCTTTGAGTCGCGTTGTTTGGGAATGCAGCGCAAAGTAGGTGGTAAATTCCATCTAAAGCTAAATATTGGTGCGAGACCGATAGCGAACAAGTACCGTGAGGGAAAGATGAAAAGAACTTTGAAAAGAGAGTTAAAGAGTACCTGAAACTGCTGAAAGGGAACCGAATCGTTTCCAGTGTCTATAATCCGTGGTATATTTCATTGGCGAGTGTGTGCGTGCGTGTGCTGTGGCAGCGGCTTTTTTGGCTGCGCTCGGCGTGTGTGCTGTGTGTGCTTGCTGGTGCCCTGTGCTGCGGTGGGACGTCAAGGTCAGTTCGTATGCTGCGGGAAAATGGCCGCCGAGGAGGTAGGGCTTACGCTTGCGTTTGTCTGTATTTCTTGGTGGACGAGTAGTCGCGGTTGGGACTGAGGTGCCTACAACGTGTTTTTGAGTGGGCCTGTGTCTCTGTGTGCGCCGTGTGCGGATAGCTTGCTATGCGTGTGTGGTTGTGTGTGGATTGATGTGGGTTTAACTTGTTGCCGTTCGGGACGTTGACGAAATGGAGCGATTTGACCCCGTCTTGAAACACGGACCAAGGAGTCTAACATGTGTGCAAGTGTTAGGGTGTGGAAACCCCAGCGCGAAATGAAAGTGAAGGGCAGCG